AAAGTGGAAAAGTATCAGGTGTTTTAAAGCCACAGTCAAGAAACACGAATTTTAAATAGTGTAAAAGATTCTATTCAAATTACACTTCGATAACTCTTACTGATGCTGGGATTGATAGTCAGTTTGTGTCAGACAGGACTGTCTGGTCAATTGATGTCAAATGTGTTTTGTTTTTTGGTCCTAAAATAAGTTTTCCCAGAAGATCTGACAGGAGGGAAATGGTAACAAATGGTGGCTGGTGATGTGCCAGCCACAATTTACTATGCATAATATGCTGACTATAAGAGAGTACCTCATAGAACTAAACTTAAAAAGAAAAAAAATCAGTAGAAAGCTAGGTATCACAAATTGCTCTCTGTGGTACAGCTTACGTGAAAAGAATCAAACCAGCAAACTTGTTGGTTTTTGCAATCACTGGCAAAACGATACATGATCCTCTAAAGGAAGCTAAGCTAAAGTGCACTATCAGTAACAGTGACCGTTTGTCATGATATAAATATAAGAAAATTATATTGACTGCTAATGAAATATATAAAAATATCATTAAGCAGGCCCTGCTGGCAAAATATCACAGACATAGCTTAAATATCTGCACAGGAGTTCAGGGCTTCATGTTTCAAGATGTGTGCAGTTTGCCTGGATATAGCTGTTGAAGTCATGACCTCTGCACCAGGCTTGGAAAATGACTGATCTGTGGCTCAGTTTGAGGTAGACATGGATCAATAATTTACCAATATTCATTTATCACTCAAGGTTCCATCAAAATAGGTCTGACAAGTTGGACAAAATACAATTTGACAAATGATCCAATCAGATGCACTGTTCAACTGGGAATCAAATGAAATCAAATCAGCAGGTGTTTGAGGTGGTCTTGCACCTGTGGTTTAATTTGACCAAAAACAGAAAAGATGTAGCAGACCAGAAGAGTGATCAAAATGAACATGCTCTTCTGCCTCATTAAAAACACAAGGACCAGAAATAAACTCTCCAGTGTTAGGGGCATTTAAAGGTTGAAGGTTAAATGGCAGGCTGAGCTCAAACCAGTGTTAATCGGTTGATTAATTCGTAAGCTGAAAATTAATTTGAAGACATTTCATTTTTCTTGCACAAATGAAAAGCATCCACTTGGGATTCTAACCACTTTTTTCCTCTGGTCTTTTCCAGTCCCCCCCCCCTCCCGTCTTAATTGCAAACACATATAGGCACTGAGACACTGACATCTTGAAGGCATTAATGCCAAGGTTCATGCATTGCACACCAGTTTCAAGATGCATTACAATAATGAATCGGGTTTTGTAAGAGGAGGAGGAAAAGTCTAATAGATTTGCTCCTCGTTGGGAAACAGATAGAACCATCAATGGGGCTGAGAGTGAAGGGTTGGGGGTTGGGAAAAGGTTGGCGTGTAACTGGGCCACTGAAAATGTGACCCGGCGAGCCCAACCTTGAGGGTGTTCTGCCAGCACCAGCTGTGTGATATTTACAGCCTGTTGCCTCATGTTCCCGGGCAACTGTTGGACACAGCTCCCAGCACACTCAAGCTTCAGATCACCCAGCACGCATCTTTACAATATCAACAAAACCCTATGGCTGATTTTGTGGAATATCAGCAGGTGGAGTAAAGGGAGGGCATGGTGACAAATAGTGGAGGAGGAGAGGGCGATGGACGAGGAGGAGGGAGCTGCTGGCCTCGTATCTGAAGCCTGGCTTATGATTGTGATTGTGCCTGTGCTTCAGCGCTGCCAATCCTGGCAGTGGAATATGATCTCCCCTTCCCCCCTCTCCTCTTAACCAATCATGGGTGAGACTTTAGAGAGGTGGGAAAGAGTGGGTAGGGCTGATGCAGTGCAAGGGCAGCACTTCTGAGGTGGTGGTGGTTTGGGGCAAGAGATGAGATGGGATGGGAGGGGTAGTAAGAAGATCTGTGCCTCATGGCTTGTGAATCACGCCCGCACTGCTGGGTCGCTATCAATACTGCAGTCTGCCCGAGCACGTACACACACTCCCAAACACGTATACAAAAAAACAAACAACAGCACGCACAAAAAGAAAAAACACACCTACGCACTTAACACAGGGCGCCCTAACTGTCACTGATCTGCTGTTTGTGCTCATAGCCTCTGGCATGGATACAGCAAAAATATCCCGATAATACCCATAATGCACGTATATACTGTATGCGAGTGCAAACACAGATTCACAAAGATGTCTTTTGTGCTGAATTTTAGAAACCATGTGGAGTATAGGGGACTTGTTGGCAGGCCATACAATACTTTAACTGTAATTTGTTGTCGATCTGAGACCTACCCCTGTCACTGCATCACCAACATGGACAATGTGGTTTGGCCTGTTGGGTTACATCATGACCAAAAGATAAAACCTCCTAACATGCTCAGGGGCACTCCTGTTCCTGAAAGGTGTGGACTGATTAGAGGAGCCAGTGGTAAGAGTTTAAAATGATAAACTGTAACCGCGTAAGAACTGTGACAAATAGGAAAAATGTGAAACCGTTTCTTGATTAGAAATCCTTCAGATTATCTAATAAGGGCTTGAGGCATTTTTTTAAATGTATTTGAAGATCTGCTGTGGCCTTGCATGTATAAGAGGTCACTACAAGTTCTAAAGTTTTCGTGCATTTAAAGGTGTATTACAGTCACTTAAAGTAAATCAAATTGAGTCTTCTAGATGCTTTTTCAAGAACTGAAACCGATGTCTAAAATCTCAGCTAAACATGCCATTGATGGTTATTTTTGTTTGATCAAATAACCTTATCTAAAATGACTTAATCTTCAGATACGTAGTGCTTGGAGATACTCAAATGTGCATAATTTGCTTCTTCTTACTGTTTGTGTAATTGTAAGTTGGATATATTTGTTTTTCAGACATGATAATTTCCCCTCAGGCTGAGAACTCCTGTGATCATAAATTTCTTTATTTACTGACAGTTTTAGGACATAAAAAAAAAATGACATGATAAACTGGTATGATAATGACTAAATAAACAACTAATCAATCAACGCTGTGCCATTGCATTGAACTAGCTCTTACATACAGTGTTTTGTTTTGTTTTTTTGGATCACAGCAAATTAAACAGCTGCAATTTGATTTATAAATGAGAGTTATTCTGGCAGCGGCAGTATTTAATGAATTTATTATTCATTCAAGTACTACCCATTACGTTGGGCTTTGTTTGTCTTTGAGATCAGATCATTTATAATCTATAATCTGCCTCATTAGGGCAAATAGTTTTGAAATGCAACTCTTGAGATGTCTGGTGGAATCCAGGTTTCCTCCCTAAAAGCTTTTCCCATCGTTTCAAATGTGCTGCGGCACAATAACAAAAGGTATGTGACAAAGAAGAATGCCCGCCAGACAAAACACTAATGACATCAATGTGACACTCGAGGACGAAGGGCGTGCATGCCCGAGTCAGCGTGCGTACGATAGTTTGACATCACTAGCCGAACATGTTTTCATCAATGGGACCTTATGCAAGAGCCAGACAGGTAAGATCAAGACAACCGGCTGGCTCTAACACATAGTGCTTTAACGCAAGTGCTGTCAGGTTTATTTTCATGAATGCAGGTGAGTGGGAGGAGGAATTCTGTTTTTTTTTTTTTCAGCACGAAAATACCTACCTATTTTTATCATCCACCACAAACGTTATGTTTATTTATCTGTCATTAACTGTGTAATGTGGGCACTGCAAGTATGCTAAAGGTACTCAGTAATAATAAACACTCCACGGAGTGTGGCGCACACACACAAACACCACTGTTCTAAGAAGTAACTGTAGTCCTTCCAACAATTTCACTCTCCCTATAGAAAACATTTTTGGTAACAGATATACACAGACTCAGTCATGATTGCGTGCGTGCGTGTGTGTGTGGTCATTAGAAAGCACAAGCTCCTTCAGCTCAGAGAGGCATCTTTCAATCTAGTCACAGGAGATCGAGCCAGGTCGGCTTTGTTGTCAAGAAACCTTTCAAAACAAGTGCGGAGCAGCTGCTTGGAGACCTGCAAGTCCATCCACTCTTGTTCTGGCTGGTTTAAAAAGCAGAAGGCACCAATGCAACTCAATAAAACTTGTAGAAATGAGAAAAAACATCACAACCATGTTGAGAAAGGAAAACTTATTTCCTGTCATCATCCCAAAATTAAATGATGATCACTATGGAGCAACCAACAGCAGTGCAGCGCACGATCCATGTAATAATCTCCCATCTGTAGAACAAGACCCTTCAAATTCCTGATGTAATTCTTTTTCTACAAACAACACAAAGGCAGACAAATCAATTTAAGCCTGGAAATCAAAATAAGCCTATTATTTCTAGGATAAAACAACCTCCTGCTATTAACCTTGTGTTTTTCCTTTTCTTTTTTGGGAAAAAGCACAGTAAAAACAGGGTAATCGCAAAGGTTAAAGAACCCCAGCAGCTGTATTAAATGCGATATATCTCACCATACGTAAAGTACAGAACATAGTTTTAACAGGTGTCAAGGGCACAAGCGTCATGGCACTCAACTCACCATTAATGGTCATGCAAGCCTTCAATTCAAGGAAGAAAAAGAGCAGGTGTGACGTTATGAGCTTCACAACAACACAAGCTTTCGACCATAAATCACTACAACAGACCCTCCCTCCACTCTTGAGCCTCTCTCAGCACATTGGGGACTTGGGTAGATGTCAGTTCAGCAGCTGACAAAGGACAGCCGGCCACACAGCAAGTCACCTCGCACTCTTCCATATCTACCTCGTAAAGACCTACTGATTGCTTCCTGGACTGATTAGAGACCCGAGAAATCTCTGAATGTTCATGAAAAACATTTTTTTCAGAACTTCAGCTAAAACGTGACTTTTAAACAGAGACGAGGTAGTGTGAAATCTTAAAAGAAAAAAAAAAACGACTTTCTCTCTTCATGGTTTTAAGAAACATAGCATTCATTTCACATCAAATCAATTTAATCAAACCAACTGTAACATCTCTATCGACTGCTCTTACCAGCGAAGATTTTTGGTGCCAAAAAGTTGTTTTGGAAGTTCTATGACACAGCAGAAAACAAAACACAATGTTGAGGTCAATAGTTCCAAAGTAGTCCAAGTCAAAGATTGCAGAGGTATACAAAGTCCTGAATAGAAAGACAGTCCGGCTTAGAGCAGCACATGTGCCACTCCACCCACCATCGACTGCCGAAGTGACAACTGCTGGTGGAACACCTCACTCTGGACGCCCCAAATTACCCTTCTTACTGGACCCCAAGCACCACCAAGCCCCCTCCTCTGCTGCTGCTTCTTGTCACTCTACCTCACTCCTCACAATTAAACAGTACACTCATCCCCCTCTCTACCCATAAACCCCTCCCAGGTCACCCTTTGCCCTAATATGCCTTCAGCAACTGCCACCAATTCATCATAGTCTATGTTAGCAAATGAGGTGTGTGTTGGTCAGCTCTTTAAAGAATTTTTTCCCCCACATTTCAGCACATTTAATGCAAATCCTTGCATTTCCAATTTTTTAGTAGGTCACAATTTAACTTTATTGAATTATAACTAATTGAACAATAGATTATTTTCTAAATATAAATCTCATTCCTTGAAGTTTAAACTGATAGTTAAAATATGAAACTTGACATTATATGCCACAGCAAAAAAAAACCAACAAAAAAACAACAACAAAAAAAAAAAACAGTGCAGTACACTATCAAAAAAATCTGCATTTTTGTTCAGCATAAAATTATTATTATCTCATATCTGATCTGATTATTTTACTCAAACTTTCACTTTAGTGATCATCACAGCCAGATTGATCTGCTCCACTATGGTAAAATAATACAGTGAGATTTTTTTTTTCCATGTACTGCCAACAAACAATGGAAAAATATGCCCCCCCAAAAAACATGTTGGAATGCTGAAATCGTCAGCTGACAAATGCAAAAGTTAATAACTTGTGTTTTGATAACTAAACCTAATTTTACTAAGCTTCTGACATAGTGTTTATTGTAATTCCCAGTTTATAGGCTAAACAGAATATGGCTATATGTATGTGTCCCAAATGAGTGAGGGAGTCACTAGCTGCCTAACTGAGGGTGTGAGATCCTTGTTGCACACCAGTCTATCCCTCGTGCACGTGTGTCTATACATCTTCCATTTGGATCATAAGCTGCTAGCAACAGGGTGGCAGCTGCCTACATACCTTTTGATCCTCTGGACTCTCTGAGGACCCCACCCCCCAAAAATCTGGACACATACACACACACAAAGGCAATGCAATGCAATACACACATATACTCGAATGCTCAGCTGTCGGAGAATTCAACACAGCGGTAATGTCTTGTGCCCTTCTGCCCTACCGTTCAATATGCGATTTTGAAATTCTGCTGTTAAACTTCAACAGCTACACTGCAACATCTCCACCTTCCCATCATCTCCAATGTGGACCACTGCTGACGGTTCTTATCTGATGCCATATCCAAATCCTAGAAGATCTGATCTTGGTAAGATACGGTTGTTTGACAGCAACCACTGTAAAAAGGAACGCTTCGCTCTCTGTGACTTTTTTGCAACAGCGACTCTGCTTCCCAAGACATGAATCTCAGCCCGTGCCCTTTCCTGACCTTGAAATCTCCAAAGGGGGGCCGGAGGGTGTGGGAAATGGGAGGCCACTAGTCTGCTAAACAGTTGTGTCATTGAGTTTCCACACACAGTGAATACATGTATGGGTGCAGGCATGTATGTGCCAAGAACCAAACGGGTTAAACAAGGGGCAAAAATTCCAAAGGCCATATTCATCTTGCAGCAGTAACTTATATGGATAAATCTGTAAAAGGAGAGAAGAAAAAATGTTTTCCCTTTGTGTATCTGGAACAGGAAATCTGCCCATGGTTAGGAAAATATACACCACTACTAAACCCAACAATCCTAATGTCAGAGTATTGAGGGCACAATTACTTCAACAACAAACACGGTTGCTCAGATGGCCTTATCTTTCTGCCCCGTTCTCCAGGTTTTTTTCCCCCGCTTGCCATCCACATTTGTCATCCGTGTGCACGACTGCCTGGGGGCTCTCCGTGTTGAACACACGGTGTTGGCCCGGAGCCTAAAATGGGGATCTATGAGCCTACCTCCGCTCTCACTGACAACTGACTGCAAGCGCGGGCCAAGACTGTGTGGTGCTGGCTACATGTGGTGGGGATCCGGCACTGAGAAGAGGTGGGGGAGGCACAAACACTAAGCAAAGGATATCTATTCTCTCCTCTTTAGCAGAGCAGTAAAAGAAAGCAGCTCCTTTGCCCAGAGGCAAGTGTATTTATGTTTAAAGGAAACACAAAAGCATATAAGCTTCAGCTCTTGCAATGATAAACATCCATCCATGTAACTGCAAATCCTTGGAACAGCTGCAGAGAAGGCAAAAAGATTTGTTTTTGCGTATTGTTCAATGTGAAAGGTGTGCCACCTGAGTGATGTGCCATGACAAAGAAAAACTCAAGAGGTTTTGTTGAAGACAAGCTTATTTGGTACTTTGTCTTTGTACCAAATGACTAATAGGTTTGTGAATAAGCATGATATGCTTTCAAGGGTCTGACAGTGAATACCCTGATTATGCAAATCTGCCTCCCTCCCGAGGATGGGGTAAATTTAAAAAAAATGACAAAGCTTTTCTTTGGTGTGGCACTAGTGTGAGCCATTTTCTCGCATGTGACCTACATTATTAAGGAATTTTCCACATTTTCACATCCTTACGACAAATCTCACAGCATAATAAAGCTCAGAAGATGAACATTTCCAACAGAACGTACTCATCCAAACAATGAGGCTGTCTAATTACTCCACATTATCTGTGCCAGCATCCAGAGCCAATCTTCGTTTTACTTACATTTCATGTTAGAAATCTAGTGATTTCAAACCAGCAGGTTTTCAGATGCCCTAAAGCATCTTGAGTGGATCAAACCAATTTCAACTCAATTTTCACCATTTATTTTCACGTATGTCTATTCAGAAAATATAAGATAAGCACATTGAATTTGCTTTCATTTCTTTGCATCTGATTTTAGCCATTAAGGTAGGGATGTGATGCAAATGAAGAAGTACAAAACAATGAGGCAAAACCATTAACTCTGCTAAATCCTTTTATGTCATAATAAACTGGTTAATTGTTGAGATCATAATGACAAAAACAGTTGAAATCTGTTGTTAGAATTCCCGCAGCCATTGACGTCTCTTTTTGTGGGACCAATAAAGATGTGCAGTTTAACAATGTAAATCAATATATCAGTCAAGAAGTTACGAAAAAGATAAATGATTTGTAAAGCAAGTAATTGTTTGCCACTTAATAAATCAATAGATCCAGTTTGGCACTCTAGTATTTAGAGTTCTACTTTAATTCAAAACTGCCTTCAAAATGAGCAAGTTCCAACTGAAACACGTTAGATTAGCAAAAATTTTAAAAATGTAATTAATTAAATGAAGCTGGAGGAGTTCTGTACAGAATCCAGACGGATATGATCACTGTTCCAGTTTGTTGTGGCTGAGCTCAAAGAGAATGCTTTTCATTTACTGATCAGTCTGTCTTCCTTCCTTTTCTCACATGCGGCCACGTAGATCACAGATACAGAAGTTGCAGAAATGAGCTTGCTCCGATAGGGCCCTGAGCTCACCCTTAAGGCACGTCCACACAGGAAGTAATTCGTTCTTCATGCATTGCTTTGTTGCTGACAGCTGGCTTTTAGCAGACATTCCAGACTCCAGTCGCCTAGGTAACCCTCTAATATATTTAAAACTTTGCTATATGTCAATCAATGGTATCCTGCACTCTCACTAGCAGTCGCTTCAATCTCTTGCTTTCAAGTCATAAAAAAGTTTAACTCAGGACCTGCACACTTTGCGTCGCCAGCAATTGCTTTCCATGGTCTCTGCTAGCTGCGAAATTAAAGTCATCACTTCCTCTGTGGACATCTTCAGAGATAAGCCATGGAGCTTCTCTGCATCAGAAGGATCTATTTGAGGTAGTTTGGGCAATACCAAAGTAGAGTCAATGTCCAGTCTACAACCAACCACAACACTGACCAATTCACTGGCTCTGGTGTCAGAATTGGCATCGTCAGTGGTTTTGGTAAGGGCGTGTGTAAAAAAATTCTGCAACGACTCAACGATGTAGCCCACAGATTGTATCTGCCAATATTTTTCCATGTAAATTATCCCATCTTTTGCTTTACTCTTCTGAAAATACACCAGAGCAGGAGTGACTGTACACCAGCACTGTCAACATGTCAGGGGAAAGTAGGGAGAAGCGGCCACCCACTGAGGTGTTTCAGGCATATCCATGGTTGGATAAGCTTATAACATTTTCAAAGAAATAAATCTAAACTACACACAGAATGTGAGCTACTTAAAAATAGCACGAGACTGCACTGGAACACCTTTAGGGACTGCTGTATGTCACAGTACCGACCAGTATTGTATTTGTCTTTATCTAATCTAGCCCTTGCTCACTCAATCTGGGGAAATTTGGTATCTCCTAGCCCCTGGAGCTGTCGCAGCTATAGGTTAGAAGTCAAGAGCAGCAAGACAAGCCCCAACAGACGCAGCAACCTGTTCCCTTCAACTGTCTGCCTCACTCAGCTGGCTCCACAAAGGCTGCAACCCCCCCACCCCATAAAAGCCTCTTGTTGCAGCTCCAAGCGCACCGCTTTTCCAGGCTGTCACTGCCCAACACAGGAACCGTTTTAGGGACAGATTATTAACATCAAACTCCCCTTTGAATCCGTCTTTAATATAACACAAAGCACTAAATTAAGCAGCGCTCTGATTTCTGCTTATTTTATGGAGTAATCAATGAAGTACTATTGCCTTCGTAAGGGAAATCAATCCCTGTTGACTAACAACATGCCTTCCTGTGTACAGTATACATTTTAATATGTAAAGTGTAGTAGTAAGCTTTTTCCATGTCCCTGCCAAGCGATTTAAAGTAAAATTACAGCTGGCTCAGTTATTCTAATTAATGACCTGTGCGTGAAACTTTATCATATTTTAATCTATCAAGTAAATTAAAGCCATAAATCACTCAACACCTGTGACTCCCACACCAGCATGACATAGTGCATTGTGCAGGACAACAGACATTCAGCTTACGCCCTGAAGGAAAAAAAAAAACCAAAAAAAAAAAACCCCCACACATCTGGAATCAAAAGATCACCTATGTTAATTTCAAAGAGCTGTTGAGATCGAGAGGTCTGGAGGAGGAAAATTATCTCCTAAATGGTCATTCTACATAACAAGAGACCTTTATTACCACAG